ATTGCTCTAAAATATTCGAATTTGACACATGAGATTCTGAACCACCAGAATTTGACACATAGGATTGCGAAGCACCAGAAATGGGCAAATAGACTTGAAAAAATCTGTAGTTATATATAGGAAGGGATGTTTGGGTAAAACCTGATTACTTCTGAAATAGTGTTTTCGTTTACATCTCAAAAACTATATCTCTTTGATATCTGTTGACATGCTGTAATCATCAATTTTCTGTAGGCTGAGGCAAAAATACTTAAAGGGCCTCATGAGGACCTGGAGAGTTATCTTCAAGCAATTGATCAACTGAGGAACAATATTAAATTTTTTAGCAACAACAAAAGCTTCAAGAGCAGTGATGGAATTCTCAACCACACAAATCACCTACTTGCGAAGGCTATTTCAAAGCTGGAAGAGGAGTTTACGCAACTGTTATCATTATACAGGTTTGTTTTTCTACTCTGTATTAGTAAACTAAAATGCTCGTCTTACATTCTTTCCATTGTCTGAAGCGTATGTTGGAATTTGGATTGAGCACATCCATGCACAGTTATAGTGATTGCGAGTAGTTGTATTATTCAGCTTAACTTCAGATAATTTCATTCAGTCATGACACATTTTCGGTAGTTCCATGCCTTATGGGCTGGTTGTGCCCAGTTCCTGTATCCTGACCCAGGTCTTGTTGCTTTATGGACCTAGGTCAAAGCTCAAAAACAATGAATACAGAAGAAACAAACAATAAGTGCAAAGTTAATAAAGTTTATTGGACCCCTTTCTCTTGTATCTTTCATGTTCATTAGTATATTGTGCTGGTTTGTCTTATAACATATTGCATATGGACCAAATATTCATTAGTTTGTTTTATGCACTCTGCAACATAATTTTCATTTTTCAGTAAACCTGTTGAACCTGAACGACTCTTTGAGTGCCTCCCCAATTCTTTGCGGCCATCAGGATCACCTGAACATTCCGCTGGGAAGATTCCATCATCAAATCATTCTGACAATCAAAATAGTACCTCAGATAACTCCGTATATATTACACCTACTCTTATCCCACCTCGCATTTTGCCTTTGCTGCATGATTTAGTACAACAAATGGTTCAAGCTGGCGATCATCAGCAATTACAAAGGGTATACAGGTAATTAACGACGGTGGGAAAAAGGTGGTGCTTTTTAATGTTTCTGTATCATGCAGTTTGACCTGTATAACTACATGTTTTGAAGTTTGTCTTAGTCAACTTAAATTTACATGTGAGACAGAAAAGAACGTATACTTTCAGCACCATGTACTAGACAAGGTGTAGCAATCGAAAGGAAATTAGGAGTCAGTTAATTGACATGCTGATTCTGTAAAGTTCTGCTGTTGTAGGATTCAATTCTGCCCTCTGTACCACAAGGATGGGTTTGGCTATTTTTTTGGTTGTCCCACAAATATGAACCTGTTTTTTAAAATAGAGAAGTTAAAATATTTGAGTTCCTCTTTGGCCCTTAATTAGCTTGCATGATATTAAGCAAATGGAATCATAAGAATGCTAGAATTACAAACTTAAACAGTATATCATGAAAATGCTTATAAACTTTACTCTCCCTAAAGATCGGTATTATATTAAACTGTAAAAAAGTGAACTATCCTATATTTAGGGGAAGGGCGTATTAATTTATTTGATTATTTCTAGGGAATGCCACTTGAACAAGCATATCATGCATTCTGCAGTGCTTCAAGATTGAGTATCAGTAATCTTCCCATTGTAATGATTTAGAGCATGCAATATTCTTGGTAAATGATTGTAAGTATAGGTTTCGAGATGCTCATCCATGGTAAGGAAGCTGAAATATCATTTCTCTCCAACCCTGTTCATGTTATGTCTAGCTACTAGCACTATAATTCTTCAATGTAGTCTTATATGGAGGAGTTTTCTTATGTATGTTTGGGTTCTTCCTCTCCCCAAGTTGTTGGAAATAGAGAAAACAGGTGCAATGCATGCAACGAAAATGAATTGTGAATATTCTGTAGTAGATTTGTATATTGGTATTTTTTTTTACCTTTTTTTTTTTTTTTTTTTTTTTTTTTTTTTTTTTTTTTTTTTTTTTTTATCTCTTTGCCCTTTTCTCCACATCGGCATGACAAAAATATGCTCTGGACATTGCAGGGATATCCGCTCTCAAGTTTTAGAAGAAAGCCTCCGGAAATTGGGAGTAGAAAAGCTCAGCAAAGATGATGTCCAAAAGATGCAATGGGAAGTTTTAGAAGCTAAAATTGGGAATTGGATCCATTTTATGCGAATAGCTGTACGTTCTCAACTTCTCATATTTATGAAGCTCCTTTAAATTTCTTTAAGTTCGATTATATATTCTAATGTAGTAACATGGCTGAACAGGTCAAGTTGCTCTTTGCTGGAGAACGTAGAGTTTGTGATCAAATTTTTGAAGGATTTGATAATCTCATGAATCAATGCTTTGCCGAAGTTACTACTGGAAGTGTTGCAGTTCTGCTTAGCTTTGGGGATGCAATTGCCAAAAGCAAGCGATCCCCTGAAAAGTTATTCGTACTTTTAGATATGTATGAAATCATGAGGGAACTTCACTCAGAGGTTCAGACAATTTCTTTTGGGAAATTTATATTTAGAAATTAATGGTTGTATGGTGGATATTATTATTATTTATTATTATTATTATTATTATTATTATTATTATTATTATTATTATTATTATTATTATTATTATTATTATTATTATTATTATTATTATTATTATTATTATTATTATTTAGTTTCCCTGAATTTGACTTAAACGATTAAGTATGTATTTAAGTCTTCTAGTAGGTTAAAAAATAAAATTTTTGGTTGTTTGATTTTTTTTTTCTTTCTTTGGGCAATTTTATTTATTTAATTTGGGATTGCAATTCATGCTCATATATGATCTTATTATGAATTTGCTGATATTCAATGCTACTTCCCTTGCTATCCTTTCAAAAAATTTCTCTTCAAAACAATCTTCGACTGTATTTTTTCTCTTTCGTCATCGTACTCCTTTTTTTGGGACTGTATTTTGCATCTATTGAGGCCACTTTTTACTATCTAATTAGGTTAGTCAGTTTTGGAATTTTATACTGTGTGGTTAACTTTTAAGTTGATAACCAGGAACTTATCCTTTTCTATGCCCCTTCTAGATGTTTTCTTTGGAATAATAACAATAAAATTTCCTGCCTTTTAGTCTTGCTATGGGAAATGATCACATTTAACATAATTTAGAAGCACATCTTGTCTTGTGAATGTGTCTTATAAATATCGTCTCTTAAGGCTGCACCTTTGTAAAACAGCCAACTGTCAGACGGGTAATTGTAATTTCAAAAGATTACTCTTTTTTTTATCAGTAAGACTACATCTAAGGGTAGATGTTGTACTAATTTGCATCTAATTTTGGTTATTCTTTTACCTTCATGCATTTTGGCTCGTGCATTTGTCTTTTTCATATTGCTTGACTTATGCTGGACTTGAAAGACTGTTAATGAGTTGAGGGTAATCTAGAATCTGCATTTTGTCAGATAGAAGCACTTTTTAGAGGTAAAGCTTGCAGCGAAATCAGGGAATCTGCCTTGGGATTGACAAAAAGGCTTGCTCAAACCGCACAAGAGACTTTTGGCGACTTTGAAGAAGCAGTTGAAAAGGATGCTACTAAAACTGCAGTAGCAGATGGAACTGTTCATCCCCTGACAAGCTATGTGATAAACTATGTCAAATTCTTGTTTGAGTAAGTCTACTTAGTGCCTCAATCTTATGTAATCTGCATGTTAACTCACAGAATATTTTGTTAGGTGTTTTGACCGTTTAAGTTGGATGCTGACCTTGTGACACATTTGAATACATGCACTATACACGATAATTGTCATAAGATGATCCAGTAAGTAATGGTATATTAAGTGGATATGGTTTTCATTTTATTGTATATATACATATGTAACATATATATATTTGAGGCAAATTTAATTTTATTACTTTGGGTGACCATTTGAGTGATTCATAAGATGACCCTCTTACGCATTACAAGCAAACAATATTCTGAAACTGATGGAGGGCCTTTATTACTACTAGCACTATCTTTAGAAATCATTCCGAAAATTTATCATCAATTGTCTACCTGTTAAAGAAGAGTGAGGATTGCTAATTAATATATGAATCTTGACAACGTGATGTAGTTCCATTTATTCAAAGATTTTAATTTACTGCTGTTTTTATCATTCCTCGTGTTACTGTGTGCAGTCAGATGCCGCAGCTAAGTTTCATCTTTATACAGATTAAACAGCTGAACCTTCTTTTAGTTACACTACCGAGCCTGTTGTGGTCACTTGAAAGTAGGATGCTATGGAACTGTCAGATTTGCTGTATCTGTGTACTTTTTTAAATTGCTTTCTGTTAATTTAGCTCTCTTAGTTATATTACTAAACCTTTTCCCATTGTCTAATTTATCCTTTTTACTCTTGAAGTAATTTTCTGCTCCTTAAACACTCGAAGAGAGATATATATGATTTGGGTGATGATAATATTTTTCATGATGATTCATTTCTCAGTGGCACTTGCATTTACCCCATCTATTAATACTGATGCAAAAATGATTAAGGGGTCGGTTTCATTGTTTCGTTTATTCTTTTCCAGCTACCAATCAACACTGAAGCAACTTTTCCAAGAATTCGAAACAGGAGATGATTCGAATTCTCAGCTAGCAGCTGTGACAATGCGAATCATGCAGGCTCTTCAGACCAATTTGGATGGGAAATCCAAGCAGTATAGGGATACCTCTTTGACTCACTTGTTTCTTATGAACAACATTCATTACATGGTCAGATCTGTGCGCAGGTACATTTGATATCTCGCTCATACTTATCTCTAGCTGCCTCTTGTTCCTGTTAAAAGTCATTCATTGTCGCTGGTTACTTGGTAGGTCTGAAGCAAAAGACCTTCTAGGGGACGATTGGGTTCAGAGACATAGGAGAGTTGTCCAGCAACATGCAAACCAGTATAAGAGAATTGCTTGGGCAAAGGTTCGTTTTGTGATGACAATTTTTTTTTTTTTTTTTTTTTTTTTTT